CACTGAGACGGACCGCCGCCGGTCGCTGGGAAGAAGACGGTCTCGCCGGCAGGCCGTGCGCGGCTCCCTTCCGCCGACGAGCTCCGACCGGAGGTATACCCCTCCCTCTCTTCTCCCCGCTCCCGTTCCTCCGCCCCCGAGCTGCTGAATCACCATGGATTCACTCCCCTATGACAACCTAGGCCTGCCTCCCCTCCACTTAACTGATCCCTGGCTCTAGCTGGTTTGACTCCCAGCAGGGTTTTCCTTAGGATTTAGGCTCAAATATGGCATTCTCTGTAGCTGTAGAAAATGCGTCCTGTCAGCCAGCAAAATGTTTATGTTTCTCTGTGGCAATGCTACCAGTGTTTGCTACTCCCTCCGTTCGGAATTATTTGTCTCGGAAATGGATGTATCTAGAATTAAAATACATCTAGATACATCCATTTTTGCGACAACTAATTCCGAACGGAGGGAGTACATTTTCATTCCAAATCTGGACTGCACATTGATCTGGTCTTGTTTGATTCATGGCATTCTGCTCAGCCGCCCTCCTAATTGTTGTCATGTCGGCGGACTCACTGCCTGCTGTTTTCTTCTTTTGTTGTATCACCACAAAGTTTTGCCAGCAAATCAAGGAAGTCAAATGTGATGTGAGCATATGAGCACCCCTCACTCTCACACAAGTGACATTATCTGAAATTCTTAATCCAAAGGTGCATGGCTCCTTGTATTTTCATGAAAAAACCCAATCATATATAAGGTGGTTTCTTTCATATACAGTACAGGTGAGGGCTTGTCTTCTGACATGTACTTATAATTAAGCAGAGCTTTACAAAAAACTTGGCTTATTCAGCGAGGCTGCAATATACCTTTCTTACCTTCTGCCACCCGAAATGTCAACTTAACTATATATAGGTTACATACTCCTCACAGGACCGCTGATCTATTGAGCGAGTTAGGACACATACAGTATATGACTATATGAGTACTGTACCTCCCCTTGTACATACAGATATACCGATCATCAGGCTAGTTCATCATTTTCGGAGTGCAGGTTTTTACACCCCCCAAAAGAATGTCACTAACTGCTATGTGCTGCGGCGGACATGGCTATGGCTCCTGCTCCGGTCTGCGCCTGATCAGCCTCTTCCTCCCCCTCCCCAACTATCCTCTTCCAGAACCAGTGCCTCCTCCACACCTGCTCCATCTGCTCCATGGGCAGCTGCTTCGTCTCCGGCAGGAAGAAGAAGACGAACAGCGTCATCACGCACACCCACCCGCCAAACAGGAAGAAGGTGCCAAACTTGAGATGGCACAGCATGTTGAGGAACGTCTGCCCGATCACAAACGTCATCAGGAAGATGACCGCAATCACGACGCTCTGCCCTGCCGACCTGATCTCCAGCGGGCAGATCTCTGTTGGCACCAGGTAGGTGAGAGGCCCCCAGGACCAGGCGAACCCCGCCACGAACACGCACATGATGACCAGGACCAGGTATCCGTACTCCTTGTCCATGACTCCATGGTCCTTGAACTTCACGGCCAGGATCGCGCCGACAGTGAACTGCGACAGGATCATCTGAACACCGCCTACCAGCAGCAGCTTTCTGCGCCCGAACTTGTCGACGACGACCATGGCCACGATGTTGGCGACTGTGGCGCAGAGGCGTGTCACGACCGCTGACATGAGCGCCGCGCTCTCCCCTAGCCCGATGGTCCGGAACATGACCGGCGCGTAGAAGTTGATCACGTTGATTCCCGTGACCTGGTTGAAGAAAGGAATGAGGAGCGCTATCACGAGCTGCGGCCTGTACTTCTTCTTCAGGATGTTCCGGTACGGGTTCTTGATTGCCCTGGATATGTTGCTGGCGGTGACCAGATCGTCGAGCTCTTTCTGAACCCCCGTCGTGCCACGCAGCCTCTGGAGCATCATCTTTGCCTCGTCGACATTGCCATCACGCTGGATAAGGAAGCTGGGGGTCTCAGGCAGGAAGATAGCACCGATAGTCAGAAATGCAGCGGGCACAGCAGCCATGGACAGTGATATCCTCCACCCCCATCCTCCTTCGATTTTCTGCACTCCATAGTTGATGACGTTCGCGATGAGGATGCCGATGCTGATACAGAGCTCAAAGCCATTGTTGATGGCGCCACGGTACTGCGGCGGCGCCATTTCCGAGAGGTACAGTGGAATCGACTGCAATGCAAATTTACTCATTAGTTAGTTACCAGCACAATAAAAGCCTAACCTGCAATTCTCCTGAAAAAGATATATACTTGTAGGACACATGAATATCCTTTCTAGATTGCGTATGAAAAGAAAATTCAGACAGCACAAAGTTTCAGGAGATATCATCTTGTATTTCGTTTTTGCAAAAGCATATCGCAAGGAGGACACATGAATATACTTTCTAGATTACGAATATGAAAAGAGAGTTGAGACAGCATAAAAGTTTCAGGAGATAGCAATATAGCATCTTATATTTCTCTTTTGCAAGAAAACATATTGCGCTGGTGGTTGCTTTTGGTGGTGATGATCATAGTGAACTTCCTTTTCTGCTCTTTCGCTGATGTGAATAGTCACCACTTTAGCAGGTTGAGATACCGATCTATTTTGTTGGTTTCTTGCTGGTTTGATCTAACGAATGAATCCTGACATTGTATTAAAAAGAAATAATCCATCAAATTCCCCAAAATAGAAATTGTACCAATTCACTCTGGCCATGTTTAATAATGGTTGAAATTTGACTTGTGGGCTAAATAAACTGTCGCTGTGTCCATGAAGAAGACTGCTTACTTGACTTTGATTCTTCCAGTTATAAGCTTGAAATATCTCAAACGGAACGTTATCGTTAGGCAGCACATTGCTGTAGCAAGTCGAGATACTGATCTATTTTGTTGGTTTCTTGCTGTTTTCATTTAATTAATTAACGAATTCCCATGTTGTATAAAGCAGAAGTAATCCATTCAATTCCCAAAACTAAAAATTGCACCAATCCATTCTGGCCACAATTAACAATGGTTGAAAATTTGACTTGTGGGCTAAATTGTTGTTTTGTCCATGAAGAAGGCTGCTGACTTGACTTTGATTCTTGCAGCTATAAACTTGAAATATCTCAAACGGAGCATTTTCGTTCAGGCAGCACATTGATGTAGCAAGTTGAGACAACTGATCTATTTTGTTGTTTTCTTTTCCTGTTTTTATCTAATTGACGAATTGCCGTGTCGTATAAAGTAGGAAGAATCCATCCGATGCCCAAAACTAAAAATTACACCAGTTCATTCTGGCCACAATAATAATGGCTGAAAAGTTGACTTGTCGACTAAATTGTCGTTGTGTTCATGAAGACAAGTGCTGACTTGACTTTGATTATTACTGATGCACACTCTCAAACGGAATATTTTCCCTCGAGGTGATTATATATGATAATATGAATGAATAATCTGTGGACAGTAGCAATGAAGTGTGTAGGTGTGGTGCCACTTGCCAATTTTGACAAGGACAAAAGTGGATCCACAGTGAGACGGTGACCACAGCCGGTTGCTTTCCGGCTAGACTGGAATGGTGATGTAAGAAAGGTACTTACAGAAAATGAAGTCCACTAAATAATCTTGGGTGTGTGTGTGCGTGTGGAAGCTTTGATCCGGACAAATTACACAGCGACGTCTGCCTCTCGCGATCAAGTTCGGTACCAAGTGTCAAAGTCAATGGATCATGGACTTGCTTGTGACTGGAATACTATTATTTGATGAAGACTAACTGATGATTAAGCATGTTGTGACAGACATGCAGGTAGGAAGAACCTGGTTGGTGAATCCGAGGCCGATGCCGAGGAGGATGCGGTTGACGAGGAGCATGTAGACGTTGACGGCGGCGCCCCCGAAGGCGGAGCCGGCGATGAAGACGGAGCCGCCGATGAGGATGGAGGCGCGGCGGCCGTAGCGGGTGGTGACGGAGGAGGCGAAGAGGGTGGCGACGAGGCCGGCGACGTAGAGGGAGGAGGTGAAGACGGTGAGCAGCTCGCTGTCGAAGCGGCAGTAGTTGGAGACGGCGGCGGCCTTGTCGCCGTGCATCTGGTGGTACACGTCCGGGAAGAACTTCTTGAGGAACGACTCCATGGACGTGACGCCGCCTGCGTGTTTGGTCATCCATCCATCCATCCATCAGTCAATCAACCAATCAACATCAGAATCACATCATGTTTGTATGTAAGGAGTATGTACAGGGGTAGTTATTGTTAGCTGGCTTGGCTTGGCTAATCACATCAAGTCATAGTCTGATTGAACTGAACTAGACTAGATGGGATGTACTGCTGCGTACGTACTAGGATTAATTGATTAATTAAATTTTTTGATTGATTCGACAGGTTTTAGTAAAAACAATATTCACAAGTCTTCCCTCCGTTCCACAATTCTCGTCGTGGTTTTAGTTTAGCTTAGAATTTGAACTGAACCCACGGCAAGAACTCAGGCTGGGAGTAACTTAGACTAGTGTCATATGCATGACACTAAGTTACTACCTTCATAATGCAAAGTAACATGATAGTAGTGTCATTAGATGGCTTCATTTATTAACTTGTAGACTCATCTTGTCTTGAGAAGCGCTATGTTACAGTATTAACATATTATGTTACCACCTCACATTAAATACTTGCCACATAAGCAAAAAAAAATCTTGGAGTGCGCTATGTTACCAGCTAAGTTACTCCCACTATGACTAGCCTCATGTAATGGATTGGAGGGAGCTAGCTAGCTAGGAGTACCTGTACAAGTTGTTGTGAAGACTGAACAATCATGCATCCGGGTGCGGAGTAGTACGGGCAGCGGGTGGGTAGGGTAGGTGTTAAATGCACAAGGAAGGGAAGGGAAGGGAAGGCCCATCCATCCATGATCCATCCAATCTGGTGCAAGAAAGAAAGAAAGACAGGGAGGGAGGGCTTCCAATCTGGCACCGCCGCAAGTACGCCCATCCAAAGTTAAGATTAACTGTTCCTTAATCACCGTGCCCTCTCCCTTCTCCCCACCCACTCTGAAGTCTGAACTCTCAGGGTAGGTGTTAAATGCACAAGGAACTGGAAGGAACTGGAAGGAAGGAAGGAATGCGAGCTGCTAGCTAGGAGGCGGATGGGAAGAATTGCAGGAGGAGTGCAGACCTGAGATTCCGAGGTCGTAGCCGAAGAGGATGCCGCCGCTGCCGGCGACGATGCAGGAGAGCACCACGAAGGAGGTGACGCGGCCGCTGTACCCCGCCGGGCCCTCCACGAACGCCCCCCCTATCGCCATTGATTGGTTGATTCTTGGCTGGCTGGAGATGGAGCTGGAGATGGATTGGGGGAAGGGGAGAGAGAGCTTAGCCAGCAGCAACTAGCAGTGTGGACTGAGCGAGACCCCCTTGGGAAGGAAGGGGTCGTGGGGTGTGGCTATTTATTGCCGTGAGCGAGCTAGCGCTCTGGTTGTTCTGGTTTCTGGTGAGCAATGGCACCGCTCCCAATGCATCTCATCTCCTCCTGTGCTTAGCAGATGTTTACAGCCGGCCCGGCCCGGCGCGGCGGTGGGGAGAGGGGTGGGTCTCTCGGGTTTGGGTTGGATGCTTCTGGGCTGGCCGACGGTTTGGCTTGGCCTCCCAGCAGGACGTGATGATCTTTCTCAAAAAAAAAAAAAAAAAAAAGCAGGACGTGATGATGTGGGGGCCGCAGCTCAGCCTCACTCACCCGCATCCACCGGACCAATCAATCTTTCTTTGCCTGCCTAGCTTAGCTTAGCTGGCGTCAACTTCTGGCCAGCGTTGGCTTCTTCGGTCCGGTCCGGTGGGTAGGTAGGGGCCCGGTCCTCAAAGCCGAAGCAAGCGAGCATGCCACGTGCTGTGCATTCATCACTCTTTCTTTTCTAATTAGAAAAATAAAACTGAAAACCACGAGCCCCTACTACATCACTAAACCACTGTCGCCGTCAGCCGCTCGCCCTACCGGAGCCGACTTGACTTTGCCGATGCAAGGACCGGCGCCCCCGGCCCCGAGCTGCCACCACGCGCCGTGTCGCTCCGCATTCATCATTCTTTCTTTCCCTTTTCTCTAACAAAAAAGGAAAAAGAAAGGCGAAAAAACCTCCCGAAACTACAATGTGCTACTCCCTCTGCCCGTAAGTTTAAGTCTTTGTAGAGATTTCGCTATGAATCATGTACGTATGAATGTA